TTACAGGTGTCCGATTACAGCCAACTGTCCGATTACACTGTCCGATTACAGCTTTGCAGATTAATTAGAGCAAAATACAGCAGTTTATGCACCAATCACTTTTGAGGAAATTGTAATTGTTATGATTAATCGCATAATCATCGTTAATCAAACGAGCAAGTAATTAATCGTTAATTACCCAGCGATACGAAAATAAGGCAGACAAATTGGACACATGGAAATGCGATTTTTAAGAGTAGTTAGTATCAAACGAGACGGTTAAACAGAACATAGAGAAAATAAAACAACAGTAAAATACAGTTAAGTAGCGCCTTTAAGAGTAGTGCTCTTTTTTTCCGGGGATGTAGGGATATTTGTTTGCAGGATTTGCGTATTTTTCGCTCAACGCTATGCCACTGCATGTACGTACCTTTCGTGACTAGGTGTCACGTAAGGCGATGTCACTACCTGTACCCTATAAAATTCTAGAAGGCTTACCACAGTCATACGTGTGGCGTCAAGGTCAAAACAGCAAGCGTCTTCCAAACATATTATACGTCCTTAATTTACCTTAATAAAAGATCATCTTTTATTATATATTATATGGTTGTCTCACAAGGACTAGGAACTACTTAATTCACGAATCTGATTGGCTAAATCGATTTTGATTTTCCCATCTAGACCCGTTACATTTTGCGGTGAAAAAGGTGCAAACTAAAATACAAGAATATTGAGAATTTTCTTCCAAAAATATTAGTGGAAGTGCCAAAAGCCTGATGAGGAGAAAAAAGTAAAGAGAACGAGCAAACATGGCAGATTTAAGTTCAGCTCATCGCCGTTCGCAAGCAAAATCAGTAAGCTAGTATAAGCCACAGTTACATTAAACGAATTAAATTGTTCTCGTTTGTCATATAATAAATATCTTGTTAACCGAGCTTAGTCGGTCTGTATGAGAGAATCTTGACCTCGGTCGTGTGCACAAACCTCACTGCGCTCGGTCTGTACTCACGAGCTCGGTCAAGATTCTCCCATACAGACCTCCTGCCCGGTTAATAAGAGCTAATTATGACTCCCTCAATTCCAAGCAAGATAAACTGTTCTGGGCATTTGACGAGAATTCGGCGGGTTAACATTTTCCCACACAAAGGGCTACCCTGGGTTGAAGGTAAAGGTAAAGTCTGCATGCGAGC